AATAAAGGTAAATTGTTTTAAAACAGACTGGTGAGAAAATGAGTAAGCTGCTATTATACCAGACTGCTATAGGAAGCACAAAGTGGTTGAAAAGACAGAAGATAAACAAATTAATTCAAATGTTTATCTTTGTGCAACTAAAATATAAAGAGATATTCCAGATAATACATATGAATAAACGGAAGATATAGTTGATTGTCCTGTACGCTGGAATTTAGTTTTTAGGTTGACGTATAAACCAACAGTGGATTCATTTATTAGTTAATGAAAGATTTGGGGCATAATTGATTTGATTATTGTCAGATTATTAATGAAACAGCACTGAAGAAGGCTTCCTGGTGCTAGAAGAAAAGCCAAGGGATCAAAGTGATTACAATATCATCTGGGAACCATGAACGTTTATCAAAAAATTGCGCCAATCCATAAAGTAGTATGAAGTCAATGGAAACATTGACCTGCAGATTCTACTAGGAGAAAAGCTAGATGATCATAAAAATACCAATCATTGATCCTCTAGGGACCGTGGATATCTTTAAAGTTCTTCCAACTTTTAACAAGCCGTTAAACTCTGAGCTACAACCGTCGTGGTGGAGGTACAGGGAAGTCAGGGATCCCAAAAGCCAGCATTCAACATCTGGGGACGATGAATGTGTGGCAGTCTATTCAATAGTTAAATTGTGTTCTGAAAGCATGTCTCTGATCTGAGATTCAGTTTTCTACAGCCAACAAAGCAGCTAAATCTGGTTTGGGATTTTCTTGATTGAAGTGCTCGCTGTTGCCAAGTGCAGCAGCAGTTGTCATCAAATCAGAGTTTTTGTAGGGACGCAACCCTTCCTACAAATGTACCTTTTCTAAATGAAATATCAGAGGAATTATGAGTGCATTTGCATCTCTGGGGTATTGTAATTCTCGTTCAATATTCACTCGCACTCCTGAGAATCTATCAGAGGGCTATTTTTACTCTGCCGTGTGATTAGTCATTTACATGAAGCAGGGGCTGTCATTGGAAATCATTTTCATATCTTTAGAAAGTTCCTCAGTTCATCCAAATGACAAGTGATTTTGCCTGGAGGGGGATAGGGCCCATATTTTATTGAGGGACCAGACAGTTCCTCAATAATGGCCAAAGTTTGATAATGCTCCGTGAAGTGAATCAACTTTGTGTTTGAGGTCACAGTTGCGGATAAGGTCTGTGAATTCAGAGGTGGCCTTTTCCTGGGGTCCATGAGGTGTCTGACCTCTGAGAGTCTTCAGCAGACCTCTCAGGTTGGTTTTACAAGTTATTTTATACAACAAAACTACCTGTCAGGAATACAAGTTGAACTTACACTGTACAGCAAGTTTGTTTTATATGTATAGGGACGTGTTCAGTTCCATTTTTCACCTTTAACGAGAGCAACGTCAAACAGTTTGCCTCCATCTGTCTGTCTGTGCTATACTCTGGCTCTAATCCCTCTTCCGTTCCTCTTGTACTGTCTCAGTGTGGTTGCTCTAGTAGAGCTGGTGTTGATGAACTAGCTGCACCTTGCCAAGTGCCTCCTGAAGTGTTTTCCTCACCACAGACAGACCTTCCTAAAAGTGAAGGGATCGCCCTTGAAATGTTCTCTCCACTTGGTTGCTTTTGATGCTGCCTATTTTTTCTCCCTGCCTTGCTATTTGTGGTTGTTCCTTTTTTTTGATAGCTTAGACTCATATAAAATCCACTTGATATCTGAAGGAAGAAGATCTCATTCATATCTAATACAGTGTTTCACATTTTGTCAGGTTGTAGGTTGAATACAAAGTGGATTTCTTACATTTTGTGGTAATGGTACATGAGCAAAATGCTTTTGGAAGCTTTGGTATCTCCTCCCATTCAAATGAGCTCATTTGCTCAAGGTCAGACAAATTGAATGGGTAGTAGGCTACTTGTGAAAACGATTTATATATTCAAGCAGTTCTATTTTACATGTTTCTCAAATTGTGGCTTATCGTGGTCCACTTCACAGGCATTTCAGTGGTGATTACATTGAGTCATCATATTAAAAGCCTTTGACTGTTTTTAATCATTAACAGTCTGTATGATATGACTCCATTGTATGTTACCTATTGAAGCAAAATGGGTAAATCATTATTCTCTGATACCTCATTGGAATAAGGTGATATATAATGTATGTGATAAACTTTGCAACTGGGTTAATCTCACCTCTCAGAATTCAAATGAATAAACAACAATAATGGCTGCTTTAAAACTCCATGTTAGATTTTTTTATGATCCTCCTACAGGACTTTTAAAAACAAGAAACAAACGTAAACAAAGAAGATTACAACTTGGAGGAAGTAAATCAAGATCAAGGCTGAAAGGACCTTACATCAGAAAATCCCATGACATTGTTGATGAGTTGCAGGGTCAATCAGAGCCTGTCGAAAACAAAGTTGGCTGATCAGCTTGGACTCACTGAAGCAATCAAAGCAACCGACATCACTGCTTTCCGCTCACAAGCCTGCCATTAAGCCCATGTAAACAAGCCAGATTCGATTTTGTTTGTAGTTTTTTATGCATGACATATTATTATTTTTTTGTCCAATCCTGTGTAATGATAGCTTTGCTGTGCTATATGTGTAATTGACCACAGGGACACCCACAGGTGGCTGGTTTCAGCAATCAGATAAAAGCTCAAAGCAAAAACTGAATGATTTTTATTTTGGCCAGAGCTCCTCATCTCTTCTTTGTTTCTTTATTTTCTAGAGCTGGTGAATTGGTTTTCAGTGTCAAACGGTGTGTTCTGCACTGTTCTGCCATTAAATGAGTCACACCAAACCAGCAGAGAGTCTAATTCATGTCTGTGTAATTACATTCAGCGTGAGAGTGCCTCTGAATAAGACCCACCACCAGCCCGAGAATAGGTCTGCCTTGACAAAACATTGACAACTGTGGAACAGGCAAAATTAAGCCCTCTCCATTCATACCCCCTATGCACAAGCTATCTCCCTGAGCTTGCTTTTGTGCTGGTATAATTACTTAATCTGAGCACTCCTAGGGTGAATTACATTGTGTGCGGCAAGCAGGAAGCATTGCATTGACTCAAGCTCCCAAAGGGGAATTTAGGCTATCTTAATTTTTACTGTTTTGAAGACAAAAATGTGATAATGGCCATTGCCAGAATTGATTCATATGCACTCTTATGTTTCTGTCAAAGAGAATACATAGGTTTGTTCAATTTAGAGCAAGACGTTATCACCTTCGCCTCCTGTCTCCTTGCTTCTTTATGGATGACGTGGATGATGGTCCTCACGATGCATTAGAGAATGTGCAGTGCACTTTTCTGTGTTGTTTGCTGTTTATAATGTGCCTGGGCAACACTTAACTAGAATGGAGGCCCATCAAGGCAGACCGATAAGGACCTAGGGATCCACTCTAGTCAATTACTGCAAAGTGCCAAGTTCAACTCAGTGGGCCTTTTATGAAGTACGCCAGCTGAGTAAACAAATTAATCGTGCATCCATGGTTCCCCAACACAACCATGCAGCCCAAGGCAATCATACATCAGGCAGAGTGATAGCAGCTGTCTCCACCAGGAAATAGAACGGTCCCACTATTAAAGATAGGCAACCACAAAGGACTCATAAGCTATTGGCCATCACACTAATTCTGACGTTCAGCTGCTCTGCTCAGTCCGCGCTGGGTTTTTACGCCTTCACACGGACTGTTTAAAGAGGGAGGATGTTATTGAGAGTTCTGGCTTTTCAAATGCTCGCCATATGGGGCAAATAGCCAGCAGATTGTCCAACTCAACATGTCAGTGAAGGAATAAACATGGAATAAGATAATAATAGACTGTGTGTAAAAATATTTCAGTGTGCACTTGTGTGGTCCTTCTCATGATTTGACCTTGAAGTAGTCAGACACCCTGCATTTGTGTCATCTTCAGCTCATGGATGGGCCAGACTGTGGTCCAGTAATCAATACAATGTACAGCAATTTACTGCACTGGAGAGAGAGTGTGTGTGTGTGCACATTGTGTGGCAAGAGAAAGAGAAAGCAAAGCATCTGTGCTGCAAAGCTCTTAATATATGGAAGCATTTAGTCCAGGTTGAAACTCAGTTATACAGTTGTTAAGCTCGTACAATAGTGTGCAGTTTGTTCAAAGCTCACAGGAACAAGTTATTTGATATGTTTTGCTTTATTTCAATCCTGGAGCATTACTGGGCATGCACACATATTCTGAAACGCTGTCTAATGCCTGTGAGGTCATATTTAATGCTGGTAATAAATAGATTGATATTTAAATGAATGAATATATGACTTAGAGTAAATATATTATCTTGAATTTGGAAGATTAATAAATAAGTATAAACATTATTTAATAAATCAAATGATTTGTATATTCAAATAATTTTTATATTTTTTAACCAACATCCCTTCCTGTAAAATGTTTTTACAATTTAAATATCTGTTGTGCTATATATCAACGTGGTTGACTCTGCACAAATAATGAGATTAAAACATTACAATATGTAATATATATGCCAAGAATTATGTAGGCAGACATTTTTACTTTATGAGATACATGAGATGATAGTTCAATTTACTTTCCCATTTTTTTGGGGGGGTTTTGACTCAGAAAATAAAATAATCTCTGGATCATTTAAATAAAGAATCAGAGTAAATCAGTGGTATCTACATCATGGCAGTGCCTTTCAATAGTGCAACAGAAATGTTCCCCGAAGGCCAGTCCATATTTTTATTTAATGTGATCATTTGATTTGATATTGGGACATTTTGTTAGTAGTGGATTTCGGTGGTTAAAAGTGAGCTTGAATTTTAGATGATATCTTTGATTTCTCTGCTTGTTTGACTTCATCCTCAGTTCTCTCCGTTATTATTTTGTGGTAAGACCTCTGTGGATAGTGAGTTGGTGATTTGCTGTGGTTTGTTTCTCCAGTTACCAATGCCTGTTTCTTTTGCTTCAGGGGAGTTGTGTTTGTGTAACGGGGCTACTATCGCTCTCTGTTGTCAGATCTTCCGGAGGTGTTGGCTGGTGTTCAAAAAAGCCTCCAGTAAAGGTCCCCGCCGGTTAGAAAAGTACCCAGACGAGAAGGCAGCCTACTTCAGGAGCTTCCACAAGGTAAACACACACACACACACACACGCACATAAACACACTCGTGCTCAATGGATTATGAAACTCTCCTCTTAGTTTTTCTATCTTATCACTTAGGTATAAAAGAATCACTGAACTCTTCAGGAAATGGGGATGGATATTTTTCACTATTTTCTGACACTGAAGTAACCATACACTTAACCAATTTTATCAAGATTGTAGCAATACAAAAGCTGGTTTTAGCCCTAAAAATAAATTTAACAGAAAAGCATTTTCAAAGTATAGATAGTGCTAAAAAATAAAAGGAAATACCATACAAATAGAGTCCTAGATGGATTTGGTACATGCTTTGTGTATGCATTTGTATTCGTATGAAAAGGATTTAAATCTATTTCATGTTAGTGGTGAGGCCTAGGGGAGCTGAGCAGTCAATCCTTTGGTCAATTAAGATGATGCAACATGCATTGTCCAGATTGCCATGAAATTACAAATCAATATTGAAATATCTCCAGAGTTTGACTCCAAATGATTTAACGATTTCTCGTATCTCATATATACCATTAAATCTCCTGTGGATAATCAATCATACCTGGATTCATTTAAATTAATTGTTATTTGAATTGCTATAAGTACTTATTATCAGATAACTATGAGTGCTTTTTGTTTTGTATTTAAAGAAAGATGATCAAGCCGATGGAATAAAGCCCATCATTGAGCTCAATGTTACACACAGTTATTCTATTTACCAAAGATGATGGTGTTAAGGACCCATTGAGATGCATTCATCACCTTTATCTAGTCCTCAGGGGCCTTTCCTCTATCTTTTGAAGGTACTAATCCAGAATAATATCTCTGTCCCCACCTCTGAAGCCCTTTGACATGCTCCAATTATGGCAGATTATCCTGGTGATTGGAGATGAAGTTCAAGGAGTGGCACCTTGAACAGAGAGGACATAATGGCAGATGATAGGGGAAATGGACTCCAGGTTTTTAATGTTTGATAGAGGACTTAGTATTCTTTAAAAGTCTTTCTTCCATCCTAAGCTCCCTCAATTTTCCCTGAATGCAGGGGAACACATGCTGAGAGATTTTATGGTATAGATGTTTTTATCCACTTTGTTTGCATCTCTCGCTGCTGCAGTATAAGTCATGTATTGTGAATGAAGTATCTCCCTGCCTCTACATCATGCTGTCACGCGGGGCATCCTGTGTGGCTGAAACCCCTCTCCCAGACCCAGAGGCATCTCATACACCAGCGCTGAAGTGAGCGATGAGTGCACACATGCATCAGTGCATCTGGTAATGCATCGCCACAAAGATCAAGAAAGGTCCCGTCTGAGGGCTTCATTCAACGCTGCAGTGCTTTGGGAGGAAATAGGCTGCACTGGTGGCTGATTTACAGAATCAACACAAAGGGGATTGGCTTTTTCTTCGCACTTTTTCCCGTCTCAACAACTACTAAATGGATTGCCTTGGAATTCTGTGCACAGATTCACCCAGAGGATGAAGCCAGATTTCTTTGTGATCCCTTCATCATTTCTTAGATTTATTTTTTAGTGGCTCATATCTACTATTGGATGGATTTCCTCCAAAAAGAAGTAGAGTATATACATATTAAATTCCAAAATCTTATCTGTACTTTAATGAATAAATACCTGCAAAACTACTGTCATTCTATTGTCATCACCTCTTATCTGTACTTGATATTCCTCCGTGTTGGCATCAACCAGTGGCATTGTTTTCCGGTTTTCAATCTGTACAATTTAGAGAAGTACTTCAAATTTGGTTCAAATGTTCAGTTCAAGATGAACTGATTCGATTTTGGTGGTTATAGGTAAAGGTCACTGTGACCTAAAAACCACATTTTTGCCTTGTGATCACGATATGTCAAGAACACATCCAGGGAATCCTCTTAAGTTTGGCAAAAACTTTCACTTGGACTCACGGGTGAACTGATTAGAATTTAGCGGTCAAAGTTCAAGGTCACTGTGGCCTCACAAAAGACATTTTTGGTCTGTTGAAGATGATAGATTTGGGTAAAGGTCTAAGGTAAAAGGTGTTAAGTAATTTTATGTAGAATGAAACTGCACTGGTTGGTGGAGGCATTCAACTGCAGGTTGGTAATTGTAGTTACTAATAGCCATGGTGCAGACGTGCAGCCACAGTTTGCTGACTTGCCTGTGGATCTTTGTCACCATCACTTTCAGAAATTCTCAATATCTCTGATTCAGAATTATTAGTCAATGGATGACGTGAATGTTTTTTTTTACCCCACAGCTGCTTGTAATTAAGGTTTCAATGACATGACGTGAACACAACATAAGTGCAGCCTCACACAGTCACCAGCCTGTCTGTCTGCCGCTCTTTTTAATATGAGAGAAAAAGAAGAAAGGAGATTCACTTTGCACAGACTCTAGCGCCTTAGGCTGGAAATGCACCCAAATCTCTCCCTTATATACACAGCTTCACATGCACAGTTTCACACACAGACACACACACATAAAGGGAAAGGCTCAAACATGCACAGTTACACACTAAACACAAACAGAGACAGAGATGAGAAGCCGGTGGAATTCACAGCTCAGAACCTCCCACAGTTGATGCTTACTTTGTGTCAGTTCTATGTATGAATAGCTTGCCTGAGGGACAAATAAATAGTGTATCTTCACAGGGATGAAACATACCTCATCTCATATTAATATTTAAATACTAAGTTGGAGGTGGATAAGAAACAAGAAATGATAAATATCTTGAATTTTTCAGGATCTACACCCTCCTCTCCTATTTCTCATCTTTGCCATCTTTGAACATGTCTGTGTCGTACTGAAATGCTGAGCAGAGGATGACTGACAATTTTGGAGAACATTTACAATACATGATGAAATCAAGCAAAGAAATCTGTTGTCCACATATGTTGTGTGTGTTATTAGGTTTAGTCCTTAAACCTTTAACAGTCAAGCTTTACTATACGGGCAGAGAGCCCAGCTAATTCATTCCCAAAAGTCTGGCAGAGAGCCCACAGTTCGCTCACAATGGACTACAATAATGTAATGGGCCTTATCTCCCAGGCAGAGTGAACACAGAGAAGACCGTTGAACAAAATGGCCTGTAAATGCGGGTGATATTCAATTAAATGTAATCTTCTCTTTTTTTTCCGTTCACGATCAATCTCCTGGTAAAGTGATTTAGATGCTTTTGATTGCACGTGTCCCTATTGACTGCAAAAGCAGCTTCAAGGAGAGGCACTTCAACAGTGGATGTGCAAGTGTATATAGTTTGAGTGTCAGACCACATTTATGCATACTGTGCTTTTAAAATAAATAACGATATATAACTCACTACACTGCAGCAGGAATCAAGCAGCAGCGAGCTGACACCGTTTATGATTTCTTACTTTTTGAATAGAGCTCTTTGTAATCAGTAGAATAACTACTGTTATTTATTTATCCCTTGAGATCTCCCACATTTCTGTTTTAATATGCCATCCTTTATATGCTACGCCCCGAACTACTATTGCACTTTCAGCAAAGCGGTGCAAGATGGCAATTCAGCCCTGCTGCTGCCTCTGCTGCTGACTGTGTTCATTCATGTAATGTGCTTCTGCTGCTCTCCCCTTCCTCCTTAGATCACTGAGCTCCATAACATCAAGAACATTACCCGGATGCCGCGGGAGACTAAAAAACACGCTGTGGCGATTATCTTCTTTGACGACACATCCAAGACGTTTGCCTGTGAATCAGGTAAGTTCATTTTCCTCCATTCAGAAATTCATTTTAGTCATTTTCAGCCAAGGACAAAAATAAAAAAACAAAAAAAAACATTCATCATGAGGATTGTTTGTCTTTTTTAAATTCTGAGACATTTATGTTTATGAGTACATGTTGACTCAGGACTGGAGGAGTGATTTGTGCAGAAATAAAGAGGTTGAAACAAGCAGAGAGTTGAAGTTTGGCCAAATGATGCTCATTTAACACTACATCAAGAAGTGGGAGGATCTGCTCTGAAATATTGATTTTCATACTGCAGGTCTGAAAAATGATATTCGGCAACCTAATTATGGACTGTAACAATAGAACGTGATGCTGACTCGTGGAAAGGAAATCTATGATTAGTGGGTTGGATGTGAAGAAGTTTAGGGGGATATGAGGATGACCATCTCAGTCTTTACTTCAAACACATACTGTTTTAGATCTGTGTCATTTTTAAGAGCTGTGTACAAATATATACAGATTCAATTTAACCTTAGTCAGACAAAATGATAACAGAATAAACACTGTACATACATGTACTCGTATATGTACACTAGCCATTTGTTCACTCAGTTATACATACTGTATATAATCAAATGCTTAATTCAGGTGCAAAATAGCCTCAAGCAAAGACAACAAGGTCAGCAACACTTTATTTGTTATCCATGTTGCATTCACCACTGCTGTTATTTTTCCTCTGCAAAAGGGTCACGTGATAGGTGTGTGACAAATCAGGGAAGGATACTTTGTGGCTGATGTGACCATGGATGCAAACAAGAGAGGCTGTTTTATTGGTTCCAAAAGTTTCAGTTCTATTACGACTACCCAGGTAGATTGAATAGTGTGCAAGTGTGCACAAGTAGTGAAGAATGGTTAGTAACTCTTTCCTCTCGGTAACCTCATTAAATTATTTTCTGTCTAAAACATCTTACAATGTACAGTATGATGAATGAGTAAGGAAATACTATAAGTCCAATAAAATCAATTCCCATATATCAGGACAACATCATGTGTTTATCACTGACATATCATCAAGTACCATTAATCATGTTTGAATTTTTAGCATAACAAATTAGTTAATTATTTTCAAACCCTATTTTACCTATAATTTACACATTTTTAAAGATAGTCTGATATATTGCACATTCGCATGAATATACTGTAAATTTGATAATCACACTTAAATCACACTTCAGTCGCACCACAACTCATTATTGTGAATTAACTTCATTAAAACTACACGCTTTTATATCAATTAAATATTTTACAACAATGATGTTCCACTAAACAAGCTAGGAATGTGTGTTTGATTAGAACAATACATGACAACCCAGAACTAGCTGTGACCACTAGCAATTTGCGCTGAGCAATTAGAGAAGAATTATAAATACAATGTGAAAATAGGTCTTTTGTTATTCTTATAGTCAGAAGCGTGTATAAATAGCTTGTGGGGATATGCACAGCTGGGTCAGGTTACATGAGATGTGACTTTGACACGTAGCCTTTATAGTGCAGCACATTGTCATGGGAGTTTGGATCTGAAAACTGAAGCTGGCAATTAAAAAGCAAACTGGAAGATTGTCTGGGGACCTTTATACAAATATTCCAAAAAGGAAGAAGTGTTGACTGTTAAAAGAACGTCTCTTGATATTTAATGTTTAAAAATATCTTTTTGGTGCCTCCACCCAAGCAGTGCCATGTTAAGTGCACTGTCAATGAAACAAGGAAATGAACAAAAGACGGGAGCAGATCTGACATGTTTTTGACAGTTGTGTGCTCTGGATGCATCTGTCAAAGCAGTACGAGAGTGACCTGCAGATTTGATAGAGATGAGATATGAATAGTACCGAATGTGTCATCACCTTAAATCCCACAGATCAGTCAGGCAAGAGAATCTATTAATACAACTGTATACATACATATATACATGTATACAAACCAGAGTCTGTATCGTGTATCCTGACTGTCACAAAATGTGATCCTCACATATTCTCCAATGTCATCCTCCAACCTTTTCTGTTCTGTTGCTTTTTTCACACACTCTTTGCAAACATGAAATGCTTCTTTGTCCTCCTCCATCATACACCCACGCCTCCACATAGACAGAGAGACATCCTCCCACTGCATTTCTCCATGCATGGTACATAGACCAGTGAGGCTGATGAAGAGTTTGTTTAGCCTATTTTCCACTCAGTGGCCTTCGAAGTGTGGGAGTTTAGAGGCACTAAAAGGCCATAGTAACTGAATGAAAAGAACTGAATCTGGTGGGGGGGGGGGGGAGAGCTCAAGTACAGAGCTGCTGTAGCTGCCTGTGTGTGTATGTGTCTGTCTGTATTGTAGCTTTTCTGTTGTGTGTGAATGAATTGCTCCAGGCAGCAGCAGACCTTTCCTTCACCCTGCAAAGTTGTGTGTATCTGTCCCATTGGACACCAGAGTTGATCTGACAAACAGCCCGTCTCACTGTTCTAGTGATTACACAGGCTGGGTTAAAGTGAACGATGAGCGAACACCTCTCCACACACACGTTTTACACAAGCATATGATTATTTTTGATGAACAGACACAGAAACATTCCCACACTTCCTGCTGTGGCGTTCCCACATTTCCACGCGCCTCTGCACACATCGCTGGCTATAGATACATATCCCAGAATTCCACTGGGCTCAGAGTTACGAAGCTTCACAAAGATAAACAGCTCCAGCATTTGCCTCATTTCATACCTCAGTGACTCTCACCAAAAGCTCACATAAGACAATTGGAAATCTTTCGCCATTGTAAACACAATTTTTTCTGACTAAACAGGAAGGAAAATTGGTATTCACAAACAACAGACTGCCATGCAGACTTCCAGATTTGATTTTGATTCAGTCTTTCAGTGGATGCCCTCCCTCCTCTTAGTGCCAGCTGCCACATGGCAGATGCAACTTTCCCTGACTGCATCTGTAAAAAGAGTATTAGTTTTAATTCTGTCCACAATTTCACAACGTTACGATTCTTAGGAACACTCAAATGAATGGTTTAAGGGAATATGAATTATTTGGTTTCTTGTAGTGATGTGTGAGTTCATCCATTACCTTGGCTCACTCAGATTAGCTTCCTGGAAAATATTATGGGTTGCAGAAAAAACTAAAAGTTATAAAGCGGTATATAAACAATGTTTTCAATAACTTGCAGCAACATTGTGTGGAAAAGGGTTTGCACACAGTATTACGTGCAGTACTTAACTGTGATCCTATCTATGTCTATATCTTCACCTCCTTCCGTCTCTTTCTTTCTCACACACTCACACAAATGCACTTGAGGGTGCAGTTCCCTTATGCCCTGGTTATCAGTTATCTGCATAAACAATATCTTAACAGCTTTATTATCAATGTGACGTGGGTTTGGTAGGTGTGTTAGAGTGTTGATAATAGATTTCACCCATAAAGATGGACGACGCTTCTATTCCCACCTGCCAGAAATGAAGCATAAATATCCCAGATTTAAACGTTGCCATCTTTCAGATTTGGAGCCAAACTCTGCACAGATTGAGGATGGAGCCATGGTAACAAGGTCCACTAACTGCCTCCTCAATGCTTGGGGGTCATGACTTTCATCTTTGTGTGCAGCCTATGAGTTTTTTCCCCCATGCATTACTATTTTCTAGTCTCTCATGTCTGTATCCTAAATGTTTTGCTACTTCCAACCGCAAGCTAAGCTAAAGCCATGAAAAACACCAATGTTCTGGGCTTTGGGTTTCATACTTTAAATTAAACAAAGAAATAAACAACATGTCAGCTATAGTGAGCTAGTGCTGGTAAACATTCATTGCCACAGTAAATTTATGTGTTTTACTAATTTCCTCGTCTCACTTTTGACAAGTAAGCACATGAGTGTACTTAAGCCTTTAACCATTTGTTTCAACCCTTTAACATTTTCTTTCCTATTGACAAGCTTAAGCCCTCCTTCAATTTGGAAAATAGCTTATTGACAGATCAGATGATCAGTACACTCAGTTTGCGACTGCAGCCATATTGTTCCAACAGAGCCACTTACATGTGTGTGGTGCAGCCTGGGAACTGAGTATCTAAAGGAGGGAGGAGAAAGCTAACATTCATCTGTCATTGGCTGTTGCTGAACCCACTGCCTCTTTTAATCTACAGAGAATCGATACGATGGATTTTTCTCCCCCCCGGTTACTGTTTGCTGTACTATGTCCTATACATGTAGCATTTTATTTTGAAATCCTTTAGTGATTTATGTGTATGCACGGGTGTAAAGATGCTACAGGCAGCACAGCTGTGGTAGTATAATTTGGACAGAATGTTTTATGATGTCTGCAGTATTGGATATGGAGGAGCTGCGTGTGCATGTGTGTGTGTCGGACATGCCTTAACGCTGTGCTGCTGTGTGGCTGTGTGCAGAGCTGGATGCAGAGGAGTGGTGTAAGTTGCTGTGCGTGGAGTGCCTGGGCAGCCGTCTCAACGACATCAGCCTGGGAGAGCCAGACCTGTTAGCAGCAGGGGTGCAGCGGGAGCAGAACGGTGAGTGCCCAATTAGTCCCTGCTAACACAGACAGCCATTCGGGGTCAATCTCTCTCACTCAGCCTGCCATCAGGTTAGTGGTTGCAGTCCAGTCCCATATGTGTTAATGCAACTGAGCCCTCAGAGGGTTAGGGAAGCGGAACAGTCACTGTCCAATTAGGCCTGGTTAATAGGGGCCGTTTTTTTGTCAATATCTGATCCGACGTCCCCCCCTGTAACAGTCCTCTGTAACATTAGCACATGTTTGTTCAGTTTCAGAACTACATTTGGATGTGTGTGTGTGTGTGTGTGTGTGTGTGTGTGTGTTGAAGGGAACCTGTGTGTGTGTGAGTTAGAGCACAGGTCACAGGCTGTGGTCGGGGCTCTGTTCCCGGCCTAATGAGAAGTGCTGTGCATCACTGGCTTCCCTCATAATGAAGCTTGTCACAGAGATGGATGAGATTATGGCTCCTAAGGCCATGTGAAATAAATGTGCTTCCCTGCATATTCCACTCACAGGAAATGGAAATGGAAAAAGAAGAGACAACAGGGTGCAGCTATCACAGCAGAGCTCATTCGCCGTAATTTGTAAACTCGCAGAGGAAATCGAAAAGGCAACAGGCAAAGAAGAGCGATTTAAAGTTGTAAAAGGGCAAGTAATTGAAAATAATCTGGCGTCATTTCGCCCAATTTCATTTCACTGCAGCGGTAAAGTGAAATTGTGATCTTCAAAATAACTTGGCCTCATTTTTTCAAAAGATATCAATACACAAGCTTTTGACTGAGCTGCGGTGAACCAGCTGAACAGTAACAACACAATTCCTCTGTCTCCGCTTTTGGCTGAAGCCCTGCTGCTCAGCGCTCGCAGAAAAGTTTGAAGAGAAGTGTGCTCTCTGCTGCCTCCATGAATGAAAGACGAGGGTTGAGCCTGCAACCATGTTTCAATTAGTCGCCCTCCCCAAACAGCAGGGGCAGATAATTATATCAGAGTTCATTTTCACTGTCCCTAAAAATACGCCACACTATGACATTGCCATTTTCTATCCACTGCAGACACATGGCTTATTTTGAATCATTAAGCGTAATTAGTGAGGACTAATTTAGCTCATGGAGAACCCTCCTCCTCTTTATCTTTCTTCTTCTCTCTCTGTCTGCCACAGAGAGTTAGATTATAGTGAATGATTCCAGTTCAGCTCACAAAATGGCCAGTTAGCCCCGCTGTCGATGAAGGGAAAGTGAAGTGATGTCTACAATACCTTAAGGGTTGTTTTACTCTACATCTGCCACATCTTATAAAAAAATAAATACCCCCCCAACATTTTATTTTTCTTAATAAGTTTCCAAATTTCTTTTCAAACGTGGTTTTCCGACAGATGTGGTGCATTTTTTATGCTTTGAGCAACACAAACAAAAATCCATTCACCCCATTATATATGAACAAGGAGAGGTTTTTGATACAAATAAATGAAACTGTCTGACAGCTCCAGAAGTAACCATGAAAATGTGTTTCTTCATATTTTAACACTGGATGAAAAATGAAGTCTGTGCACAGTATTCTTAATTGTTGTACCATTAAAATCCCACCTTTTAATAAGTGCGGTGTGAATCTTTGCAGAACGTTTCAATGTGTACATAATGCCCACCCCTAACCTGGACATCTACGGGGAGTGCACCATGCAGATCACCCATGAAAACATCTACCTGTGGGACATCCACAACGCTCGCCTCAAACTCGTCATGTGGCCTCTCAGCTCCCTACGCAGATACGGTCGAGACTCCACCTGGTTCACCTTTGAGTCTGGAAGGTGGGTGTGCATGCAGATTTGTGTTTGTGTCGTCTGAGTGACTGAAATGTTGTCAGTGGGAGGGGAAAAAGAAACAACTTAGTTTTGGAATTGTCATAAAAACTTTCACAAAGCAACTTTGGATCATCCAGATCATCCCAGGATATCAGCATTTGCCACAGAGCCCTTCAGGCAATGATATGACAGGTGCCTCTGTGTGTGCGTCTATTGTTATATACTGTATCTTCTCACTCGTGTGTGTATGTGTGTGTGTGTGTGTGTTTGACTTCAGCGGGCCATCGTATCAATGTGTCTCTCAGTAAGTGCACATTCGACCATGCATATTTGTAAATGAGCAATCCTAGAGTGAGCGCGATCAAAGTGTGTGTACTTCTCTCTGTCTCTGTGTGTGTGTTCCTGGCGCAGGATGTGTGACACGGGAGAGGGTTTGTTCACGTTCCAGACGCGGGAGGGGGAGATGATCTACCAGCGGGTCCACTCGGCCACGCTGGCCATTGCCCAGCAGCATGAGAGGATGATGGAGGAGATAGAGAAGAGCTCCCAGGTACAATCTTTTTTTACATTTTTGGTTGTTTATCAAATACGCACAGCAGCATTATTTGCACTGCCAACTAAACTAACAGTTGACAATGTGTGTTAACTATGTGTGCAAGAGTCATCGGAATAACTATTTAATGCATCACTTTTATACAGTTGCGAAAAGAATCTAGCGCATTAACGGAAACCATGTAGAAGTGATGACACGAATGCATAAGCTACATAACGCAAACACAATCACAACGGGAGTGAGCATCAACAGATGCTGACTGAAATGAGCAGTTACTTAATGCGTTCAAGAGAGCTGTTTGTGAAAACCTGGTCAAGCCAGCCGCCGCTTAAGATGTGACGTCTACATGAGGTGTTAAATAAACAAGCATCACATTTTAAGCGGCGGCTCGCTCGACGGCAAAACCTTTTGTGGTTCACTCCTGTTGTGGTTGTTTCCGTTGTGCTGCTTCTATAGTTGTCTTGGGGATGTTGTATTCGTGTTTTCCATGAATTCCCTTGTATGAGACGTCTCAGCCACCGTACCTTACCCGAACCTTAACCATCACAACTTAATGCCTAACCCTAACCTTAAACCTTATTCTAACCCAAACTCATCCCTAACCCTAAAAGCAAGTCTTCCTCAAACATCCCTATGATAAACTGAGGACTGGCCAACATGTCCTCAGGTCTATGCTCAAAAAGGTCCTCTCAAAGGAAAGTACAAGTTGACACAAACACACACACACACACATGCACACACACACGCAGTCACACACAGACACACACACACACACACACACACATTGTTTTAATTACATCTTTCTTTAGTAGCTCAATGATTTCTTATCTCTGTGTGCTTTAAGTGGATCAAACAAACACGTCATTGAGACTACTATTATTTTTAGAAACCAAGATTTTCACACAAGATCTTCTCGTTCGCACGCTGTTGTCTCCATGACTCATTTCCTGGAGACTGGTTCTAACTTTAACTGTAAAACCTAATTGCTCAACTATAAAAAGGAACCTTCCCCTAAACTTAAAACATGTCTTCCCCTTAAATGTTAAATATTTACGTTATTGTTACTTGCTTTGGGACGACTAGACCCCATTACCTGATTGTAAAATCAGATTTATGTCCCCACGTCACGAGTAACACACACAAAAGAATACACCGTCCTCTGCAGGTATTGCGTCTGGTTTCTACCCCCAAAGTGTCGCCTTGGTCCAGGAGCCCTCTGACACCCCACGGTCTCCGCATCCGCTCCCTCCTTCCATCACAACACCCGTCCATCCCTGTCTCCCCCCCCTCCTTCCTTCCTCCCTCCCTCCTCTGCGCCCCGCTATCATCTTTATTCTTTATTTATGTAGGCCTGCCTAGTGTTTGATGAGCCTTGACCATATGGCCTTGCTCTTGGACCCCACCATTTGGGAACATTTCCAAATGCAGCATTTACCCTCAGCTCTATAAATCACACAGAGAGCTAAACAAAACTCACCACTCACAGTTGCAGAATGGATGAAATAGCATGTTCACTTCTGAGTAATTGCAGATTATCTTTTCAGTAAAATATCGCAAATAAAAATCTCAAATACATCATCCAGTGGCTCAACAGCCATTTTAGTGGCCATTCAAACGCAGGCTCTTTGGTTAGTGACATGCAAAGAGACAGGGAGTTTTCCTCTTCACTTTTGTGTTAGCTCATTGGTGGTAAGTTTGGTGGCTGAAGTTATTATGTATTCTGTACGTCTGTCCCATATTTGTGAACACAACAATTTCTCCAAATTTTGTACAAACCCTCAGTTGGATTCAAAGATGAACTGATTAGAATTTTCTGGTCAAAGGTCAAAAGGTATCAGTGACCTCATATGAAAAAAAAAGTATGTTGAATGAAACTGCACTGGTTGGCGGAGTCATACAGGCAGAGGGTGGTAATTCTATTATATTGTAATATCGTAAAGTCTTGACAACAAAGTGGTCTCAGATGATTGTGATTCGCTGTCTTGATTGAACTGCCCCCCGCTCTGACTGCACGATTGACAGTGACAGAAAGAACTCTCCTCTGTCTGTTTCAGATCCACTCAAGAGAGACAATAACCAAGTCCATCTCCCTGCCACGCAGCGCCTACTGGCAGCACATCACGCGTCAGAACAGCATGGGAGATCTCTACAGTTACCAAGGTACAGACATGAAGTTGATAATTATCTCACATGCACAGTGTTGCTATTTCTTTACCTGCGAGTCAGTGATAATTTGTGGAGCACGACAGGACGAGGTGGAGAAACAGGAAGACACAGAGGGAAATTAACAAACATTTAATTGACTTTCACAAGTAAATTGACACTTCACATTTCTTAACATACACTGTATATATGCTTCCATAGTGAAAGGAATTATCTAGTTTCATTTCTCTTACCATTTGTACACACTATCACTGATAATAAATAACAAACATCTCCATTAATATTTAATTCAATTTACTGATAAGGTGTATTTGTAAGTTACAACATGTGTATGTGACAACTGAACCTTTGAAATGTTGAATCTTTTGATCTGCCTCCACGTATGCCCAATCGGAAATTATTTTGTCCTTAAAATGTATATTTCCCCACTTATGTTCTTTTTAGGCCCCTTAATTATTATGTATGTTGATGATTTTGACATATTTCAAAATGTGAAAAAAGGAGAATTTGGAACAGTCAGAGTTTGCTCTTTTAAACTGATTTCTTGAACGAACAATTAAAAGCAAGAGACAAACAGAATCCTAATCTAAATTGGAATTAGTTTGGATTTCGTTATCTCATCTAAATCAGGTTATGAGAGACAAATGATCTGTGTGGTCTTAAAATAAATGCACAGGTCTGTGCGAGTGGAGGAGAAATAAACGTCACTTCAAATCCATTAATATCACAGTAGGTGCTTTATTGCATTCAGGCTGAGCACAGTATGTCTTTAATCTACACATTACACATAAGAAAGAGTGTGTGTGTGTGTGTGTGTGTGTGTGTGTGTGTGTGTGTGGACCAGAGGCAGAAAGGTGCTTAAAGAGCTGATGGGATTAGGCTGTGTCCATGGTGTTAGTTGATTAGTCGACTTATCAGAGAATTATAGGTCTTTTGGCGTTCACTGATAAAGCAAAAACAGAGAGCAAGGCAAAGATGAAAGTCGCTCTGACATCGTAATTTTCTTTTGAAAAGCAAAGGCTGGATTTTTTTTTGTCATTATCTTTTAATTGTGGCCTGATAAGCTTAAAAGCAAAATGCGAGTCTTCCGTTCCAAACATCAACATGTTTTTACTCATATACACTAAACAGAGAAGCCTCCACCTCAGGGTCATTATTTATAGGCCCAGTCTCTGTAAATTCTCCTTTTTAAACTCTTCCTCTCCAAACTCTGGTGAGCAGAGGAGCTCCTCTCTCATCCATCACCCTGCCATCTCCAGCGGTCCTCCCACACTTCCCCCCCGTGTGTCTGTCCGATTCGTAACAACCCTCCAACCTTCTCATGCTCATACACATTCAGCGCTACCATTAGCTCCCCTCCTCTCCCATGAATAAATTGAATGCATCAGTGTGTTTGAGGACGCAGCGAAAGGTCTCACCAGACAAGAAGGACGACAAGGTGATTCTAGGGAGTGACAGGAGTAACTCCTGTTGTGACACGGGATGTTTGGACTGTGAAAGACGTGTCAGGAGAACCTCACAAAGCTCAGGGACTCCAGTGGGGCCTTTCAGCCATGCAAGACATTTTTAGATGAGGAGAGTCATATACAGTAATTGCATTGATTCGTCATTGGCAGAAGGTCTCCAGCTATTCTACAACTCATGTCCCGCACATGAGGAAGACTCATAACAACGCCCCACTGTGCCGCCCTGTCAGATGAACTAAAGTTTCCCTTCAGTGACAGCACCATCATGTTTTAAATGTTCATTTTAATTGATTTTAATAATTGATAAACTATGAATTACTGTCAGTGTTTGTTCAGGTCAAGTTTACATTTGTACTAGTGCCACTCAGAGTGGTAGAAGCCAGATTTTCACCATGATCCCTCACTTTCAGCGATTACATTATTTTTCCAGAGCTATTTATTCATTACTTCTTGCCATCTATTATCTTGCCTTCTTTATGTATTCGTTACACTAGTGCACAGCCTGTTCTAAACATGCCTGTTTGGAATGGACTGCTTGTTTGACCTGTGGTGATGCTGGTTGCAGCTTTCTTTCTGACACTGTAAAAGTGACCTGCTGTAACGCTGTAATTGGCTGCAGGACTCAGTCCAAAGAACCCTGAAGCTGCCGCTGCTGTTAGCCTGTTTATTCAGAGTTCTGGGAAGTTCGGGGCTGCTACAGAGCGCTGGTCACCTGCTTATTCAGATTTTATGATGTAATTTGTCAAAACTGCACCAAATTCAACAGTGAACTTCCTCCATATATTCCTAACAATATACATGTCAAGTATGAAGCCGTTAAGGTGAACAATTCTGGAGATATGTTAGCTAATTATGTTGTACCTTATATACTTTAAGTTTACAATTTCTGTAGTAACTGTGATACTGCACATGAACTAGTTCTCATGCACATGCAGTGTTCAGGTGTTACAGCTGACTCAGTATGTAGATATATAGTTACTAATTATCTAATTTAGATTAATTGTAGTAAATGTAAAAAGTAGTTTAGGTACACTACAGTAATATCGTATATCAAGTACCCCCCGGCAACTGCTGAAATGTACCTCATTGGGAATCACAGTCTTATCATAAATTATGGTACAAAATCATTTTCCAGTAATAATGATACTATTAATCCCTGAAATACTGATGTGGAGCCAATAGAGGTAAGAAATCAGGAACTTGGACCATGATGGCTGGCTGCGTTTGCTTGGCTGTATCACTGCGTGCATGATGAATATCCAATCAGCACAGTCAATTTGCTGAGTCATGCTCGGGTTGCTTTCAAATACCCTGCGGGTGCGGAGGAATAATTAAGGAACACGGTTTCCTGTCCCATTGAGGTTCATTCACCTATTTGTTGATTTCTTTGGCTCAGACAAAGGAGGACCTGGCAAATGAGGAACTGTAACTCTTTTATTTTAATACATCTCACATCTGCTTTTTTAATAATGTCTCGAAAACACATCCCAGTGGCCTTGCTTGCTTAAAGTGAAAGCAGTAATTGTCAAATGTGGTTTGTTCAAAAGAAAAAGAGAAACATGTTGCAGAAAAAAATCCTGTGATCAAGCAGCGTGAAACAAAATTAAGCCCCAAAATAATTCAGCTTTTTAATAAAACCTGAGACAGAAACTATACACCAAGACAATGTGTCTATTTTCCCGCTGCCTTCCAACTCTACTTTCTTAATATTATTCGCTCTTTCGCATTTCAGTGAGACTGCTGTGTTCATTGAGTTTGATGATGCATAGAAAGAAGTGCACTTTAAAGTTTCAAATTGAAAAAGCAAGGCCTGTCAAAAGAGGTTCAATTACGGAGTTTAATATTGGAATTGAAAATGGACAAGAACACTTGTATTTTTTTTTCTTGGAGCAATTTATGTATTTTCTTTCCATTTCTCACACACACACACACACACACACTTTCTTTATCTCTCTGTCTGCGTTTCATTGTGCTTCACAGTTTAATGTCATAGCATTAGCAATTCTAATGGAACAGAGCGCTGTTCTTCTTAGCTTGATAGGCCGGGAGTGATACGAGAGGATTTAAGAGAGAGGGAGTAAGTATCAAAGGGACGGGGACAAGATGATCGGAGAACAGGATGATAACGCTATCTTATCTGCAACAGGCGACATGGAATATAGTAGATGCAAAAATTTAATCCCATGAAAAATGCATGACAGCCAGGTAAAATGGAGTTCAACTGTTTCTTTCTGCTGGAGGGATGGAAAGTTTCTTTTTTTTCAATCTGAGATAAAAGGCTGAACAATGTAGCTAAAATTATCCTGAGATCAAATTGTTTGATATTGATAAATATCACAATAAATGTCAAATTATTAATTTTGTGCTTTAAGATAATAAGGTTGTTGTTTTAAACTGTTCTTTATAGACAGAGAATGACAAACAGTTGATTAAAAAACATATTATAAATCTGAGGTACATCAATAATGTTTCATACCTCTTCACTGTGCTTATACAATGCAGAAGCAATATATTGATTATATTGAACCTTTGTTAAAACTATATGGTGATAATTATTGGTATTGTTTAATTGCTCAGCCCTATTTAGTTGTGTTATTTGAATCCTGATGTAAATGAACTGACCCAATCTTTGGGATCTATAGGATTGATCTTTGTGTTCGATCCAGTGCATTGTCGCTCCTGAAGCTGGCATTCTACACAAAAAACTCCCCCACACATTAAGCTGTGTGTCCGCAGTTGCATAATCCAGAGTCTGTGGTACAGGCACCGTCTCTTTCTCTGGTTACAGCTGTTACTAGGATGCCATCTGGGTTATAGCACTGTTAGAAAGGAAGGTGCAGACAGGTGTGTGTGTGTCTGTCAACATGCATGCATGAATAGCTGCTTGTGTGTCTGGGCCCACCATTATATCTGTCAGGGTGTTTTTGTGTGTGTGTGTGTGTGTGTGTGTGTGTGTGTGTATGTGTGTGTGTGTGTGTGTGTGTGTGTGTGTGCCCAGACCAGCAGCTGCCTCCCCAGGCCAGATAGGATGACATGACCTTCCCCTGGTAATGAAAAGGCACTGATAAATCACTGTCTGCTTCTCATAGGGAGACGAGAAGAGGAGGGATGCTGACAACATCTTCTCTCTTTTTGGTTTTATGTTTTTTTTTGTGTGTCTACATTCGTGTCTCCTGTCCAACAAGCCTGGGTCTTGTCAGGGACCTGGCACCACACAACAAACACTGCTGCTTATGACTGAGGAGATGATGAGATCTGCTTGGCCCTCTCCATCTACAGTCGCCTCCCTGCCGTTTTTTTTTTCCAGCCCAAATTGGCCTTGGTTGGGGGAGAGGGATTGTCTTGGCAAAGATGTGAAAAAGATATGCCTGGTTGCCCACCTGTCGTTTCAGCAGTCTATTAAGTACAGCGGCTAAAGGAGAGAAATGTCCCCTAGCTTTGTTTTTTTTTTTTTTAACCTGCAGCGTTTTTTCCAGAGCTCCGTTTAAATCCTAAAGTTTTTGTCTCGTTTTTTTTTCTTTAATTCAGGAAAAGGTGGAAAGAAAAGACGAGTGGACAAAGGGGTGTGCAAACTGAATGTGTGTGTGTGTGTGTGTGTGTATGACTCACCTGTTATGGCTGCTGCTGTTCTGGTCTCATCCTCACACCCACACTGACCCCTCTGTGTTTCCTCCTGCAAGCTGTTCACACAGGACAATGCTCTTTCTGTTTTTCCCTCTCTCATCATCTTTCTCTACTTGTGCATCAATTTTCTTTGCATTTTCTTCACCACTTGACAATGATTGCCAGGCCGCTCGGGTCACGTTTTATATTCCACCTCATGGTGCGTCTTGTGGCGGCCTTAGCATGAGTCCGTTGTTGCGACACACACACAGAGACGTGTGAGTCAGTTTGACACTACATGAATAATTTGCACAACTTAAAATCATATTTGCTAATAAGCATTTCAGCACCAACAGCGGAGGGGAGAATCATCTCTTTGTCGATTTTGTCTGTATGGCCCCTGGAAGAAAACAAAGTCAAATTTTAATTTGTTCATCAAATTTCAATTAACCTCTGTACATGAAGCGATTCCAAATGCATGAAGTGTATTGACGTGCAGCAACTTGTCCCTGTGAACTCCATCGGTAGGTACCAGATCTGCTATAGGTTAGAATTGATTACAGGGTTTTGTTGTGTTTTTTCGACTCCTGAAATATTGATCAGTGGCCACTTCCTCCCAGTTCCGTGCATGATCAGCAGCCTGCCAGCTTCTTTATCCTCAACCCACCTCCGCGTGCACGTCTCTAAACAGCATTCTAATATATTATTAATAGTCTCACAGTTGCACGGAGCAGCCCCTCCGCCCACAAGTATCCATTACTCCCTCTCAGCGCAGTTAACCAATATGCACTGCAGAACAAATTGGTCCAATTAATTTAAATTAAGGTGGAGAGGGAGAGAGCAGGGAGCGAGGAGACGGCAGAAACTCTGAGACGTGGAATGAAGCTGTGTTAGAGGTGAAAGGTTGATTTACTATGACCTCTTTTACCACTGCACAATTTATTTTTAAATTATTTTTATAATCTAAGACGTGCCTACATCAAGAGATCATTTGATCTACATGGATGATCTTATCTTATTTATAAAGATAGCATGGGCAGTAGCTAAGCAACAGTTACACCATGAGTCATCTGTCAAAGAAAACAGGAAGTATTGTTTCTCCCCAGTTCAATCAAACCTGATAAACTAAATGCAAGCGCTCCATTGAATCTTTTTTTTTTCTTTCGCCCTCCACAGGAACCGGCCTGGCAATGACTTTTATCCCCCGAGCACAGACGTTTCCCAGCTTCCTGTCTGACGAGCCAGAGCAGGAGGAGAGCCAGCACCAGGAAGAAGCACCATCACCCTCTAGTGGCTGTGAATCCAGCTGCAGCCTGAGACCCCTTCAATGACAGAGAGCTGCTCTGCTCGACCAAAACTGGACTGTTTTCCCACTGCTGTAGAGACGATGTAGAAATATGTATAGTGACATGTGTAATATATCATTTCCCAGTGATTCTTTAGTGTCAACTGCAGAACGAGTGGAACATGAGGACTTTTCCTAGAAAGGATGTTTGTCGTTGTGTGTTGTGAGACTGTAGCTTCAAATATTGCACCAAAAATCCTTTAAGTGTAGCTTTAAAGTGTTTTACGTTGTCATAATGCTGTTAACACCAGCACGTACGACCCCCTTTTACTTTTTGAACCACTGCACTACATCCTACAAGAGGGTAAAGGTACTAACACACCAAGGTCTGCTGTACAACAAAGGTTTTTTTTTTAGGAAAAAAGGCTTTTGTTCTGAAATTGACAAAATCCCATCAGGGTCCAACAATGTGCAGCCTCAGCAAGTATTTTCAGAAAAAAACAGAAACAATTTTTGACATGTAATCCGTTCCAATCCGACTGCAGCTCTGCTTTCTCAACTATGTGGAATTGATAAATGCCTTCCACAAAATAAAATGCGCTGGACTTTGATAGCAGTGATGAATCAGCTAAAGCCTTTAATCGGTTACAAGCAGCAGAAAGAAAAGGTCGTTCAGAAATGTGCTTCAAGGACGTCGCAGTGGACGGACGTGTCACTGATGATAGAATGCAACCTTCTCACAGACGACTCTACTTTAAACTGCCAACCTCACAAAACACACAGTAGTTTGAGTTTAACAGCGTCCTATAGCTCTTCTATAACGTCATGGTGTATTAGCTATAGATGTTGGTGACCTGAAGTTATGTTCATACATGATTTCATTTGGAAAAATATGAGAGAAAACAACAGATTGATACCACTCTCTTATCACTGTGCTAAATGGAGAGGTAGCAGCAGGTAGCAACTAGCTTGACTCTATCCAAAGCATATATAAAACAAACAAAGCTTTGTGGAGAGTGGTGCCAATCTTCTCATGTAACTCAGAAATGTCCATCTCTCTAAACGTCCCATGTATTCCTTTAGAAACTGAGTTAGGGATTATAAACCTGGTCACCATGTTCTCCAGTAAGAAGTGCCTTCCGACAGACAAGAGCAGAATAAGTTGTTCTTTACCTTCGTAACAGAGTTGTTCTGTCGGCCCCGGTGTGAAACCTGAGCGGACATCTTTTATCCAACACTTCAGCAGACTCTCAGTCATTTCTTCAAATATTTGTGCTTCAGGTGTTCATCTCAAAGAGCGTTTCTCAAATCCATGTATTGTGGCTCAATCATCTCTCTGGTTTTGTTTGTTTTGTTGTTTTCTCTTGGGTTAATACCACAGAACATAAATAAAGATGGACGACAAGTCTCCACTTCCTCCCACTATCCAAAAATGAAGCCAAAATACTCTTGAGACAAACTCCTAGATTCAAAATGGCCCCTATTTTTATAATATCAAATAAGTAATTGAAATCATATTTATTGGTTAAATCGATGTGTGTATTTTGACTTTTTAGATTTGGTTCATGTCTGACCCACTAACATGGAGGACGTGGGATTGATGAAGTGTACCACAGCCAGCCACCAGGGGGCGTTTGAGACACTTTGACTTTTGGGGAGCAGTCATGTGGTCAATCTATGGCTTATATGTATAGAAGTGGAATAGATTATAGATTCCTGAAAAACTGGATGTAAATGCACTTGAATTGTGTTAAAGTTTGCGTTTTGTCGTCACTTTATTTTGTGTATTTTATTTAAGACAACTTTCATTTGAATTTGAGCCTAAAACTAAAGCACCCATCTGAAAAATAAAGATTTCCGTCTGCGTCCCAGAGCCTGCGACAGGAGCGTGTAGAGACAGTTGACATGTGTGTCCACATAGTTGTCTTGAGGCTTCATGTAGCTCGTGTGGATATTAAATGTGTGTGATTGTTCCACGACATCAGAGCTGCACTGACTGACAATAACTGGAGAAAGTTAGTTGATGTATTTATTTTCTCTGTTTGAATATTCTGTTAGTTTATCGTAGGTATGATGTGTCTTTGTATTTTCTGTTAGACGATTGTGTTCGTGTCCTCCACCACTTCCTTCTGTGTTCTGTTACCGTCAGATTGTATATGAAAGGCACTTTGAATACATTGAGTGTTTTCACTAAATGTACATATGTTATGTTTTTGATGATAGAAAAAAACTAATAATAAATTGAATGTTCTATCATGTATCATCAGTTTTCTGCAAGTCTACAGGCTTATTGAACACAAGGTAAGTGACATTAAGTTAAAGAAGCTTTCAACAAAATAAATACAACATAGAATTACTCATTAATTATTATTATCATCATCACTTCCTTGATAGATGAGAGGGAGTAGTCACAGTCAAGCCGGGTCCACTGCGATAAATTCGGACCATGTGTTTGTAGACTCATCAGTTCTACATTGGTCTTTGCAGTTTTATTAATGTACTAATATGTGTGTCATCAAACAAAACACACGCAGACAATACAAACTATGCATGCCACCAAAACACTTCTCTTTAAAAATAATGTTGATGCCCTTGATGCACTAAATGAACATGAAATAAAAACCTAAACTTATTTAAGATTAAGTTTGTAATATTTTTACATATTCAAAACTTTTCATAATTTCTGTTGTATCAATTGTATTAGTATTTAGAGGTTTTCTTTATTGAAATTTGACATGGCAGGAAAAAAAGACATCATGAATTGCTTCAAAACTTTCAGAGCTCCCCAGAGTAAACAAAAAAAGAAGCATTTAATAATAAGATACACCCTATACAACAAGAATACAAATAATGAAGGGTATAGACAACACAATCATTCATACATTTTTGAATCATAAGGATGGGCCGAGAACATAATGACAAAAATAATTCCTTCACTTGATTTTAAACAAACAGTTGATACTATTTTAAACTTTATACACAGAAACCCTGTGATATGAGCAATGTTGACAGGAAAATAAACTCTGGCAGAAACCTCCCCATAAAAATCACAAATGATATTTTTTACACCTCAGTTTTTATAAAGAATTTAAGGGGTTATTTCAATGTGGGAAATTCCATTTGACTGGTTTTTATTTTTAAAATTCTTCAGAAGTAGGTTTATATTTCATAAGGTTCGGTTTCTCTTTTGACACAATCCCACATGACAGGAAGTAAGCGAGTTGTGGTTATGACACCTTTTATTTTTACCACAGGGAATCATTAACAGTAACACACATCGGTTTGATGTAAAGCTGGTCACGAACTCGATGTTTCACAAGTAACGCACTCAAATTGATACTTTTTAAATCAGGAACAGCAAGAAAAGAAAAATGTGATTCCAAAACTACATTGTCCCTTTATGTTGACATGTCTAACTTGTCCACATTTGTCTGGTTTCCTAGCGGAATAGTCCGCATATCCATTACTGCCACTGCCTCCATTTCTATGGAGATAAACGAATCACATTAAACAAC